CGGCTCGTCAGAGGGAGCCGGGAGCCAGGACGCGCCAGACACACGTGGAGGCCGCGGCGACCTGGGGCCTCGCAACTGCATGTGTGAACTGTCAGGACGCAGTGCGGGCGGGGAGCGGCCCAGGCCACGGCCGCACCGCTGCCCACCGGCCCACGCCTGTCCGGCGACCCTGCCCGGGCAGTCAAGTAACTGGCTTCGCTGCTCTGTGGCGGACAGAAGGTGACAACTGGACAGCAGCAGCCGCAGAAACCTGTCATCGACTTGCTTCCAGGTGAAGCCATCAGACACCGCACATGGCCTCGGGTCAGCATCGTCCTTCCAGCCAAGTCCCCGAGCAGGATGCGGCGCCGTCCAGCAGGCTGCAGCTTCACGGTCAGTACAGGTAGCGGAGCTGACAGCGCACGGAGACGCTTCCGCAGCACCCCAACGCCTGTCCCTGCCCTCAAAGCTCCCTGACCCCGGCTCCGCCACGCTGGGCCAGTGGGAGCCCGGCCGCCTGCCGCACTCGGACTGACCAGGGTGTCGCGGGCACGTCGCGCCCGGCAAGGCCAGTGTGGCAGAGAGCTTCTGGCGCCGATTTTGCAGGATTCAAGCCCGCACCGCCTGGCGGTAGACCACTGCACCAGCTTCCCGGAGCGAGGCGCGGGCCTGGGCGCGGGCAGCGTGAGGTGGCACAGGAGGGACCGTCCGCACTGACCCTGGCCGGGGCGCGCAGCCCTCTGCGGAGGCAGCCCCGAGCGGGAGAGCCGCCTAGGCGAACTGTGCCCGCCCTAAAGGGGCCTCGACGCGCCCTCAGGCGCTCTGTTGCGGAAATACAGGTGTGCCGTCCAGCTGCGCAGAGGAAAAAGTCAGTCAGGAACCACGCACCTGTCACCTCGCGTCCACGAGGGACAGCGAAGGTCTGAGAAGCTGCAAGTCCCACGACACCCCGAAGGTCATTGGCTGGCGGCTCAGTCCTCTCTCACGCCTCTCAGCAGCAGGAAAGACACCAAGAGTAGCACGGGCTGTGACGCTCGGAGCTAGGACGGCAGCCGAACGCTGCGCACTGAGCCTCTCGGAAGGAGCGCACTACGCCCACCGCGGGCCTCACACCTCCTGTCACCGCCGCAGCCCACACGGAGCACAGCACCGCCTGCCAGGGACGCCGGCTCCAGCCGCAGGCTGCCGCCACAGGCTCTGAGGGGGCGACGAGGACGCACCGAGCAGGCAGCCGACGCCCCGCGAATCATCCACGCCTGACGGGGAGCCGAGCTGCGGCCTGCGCCAAGGGTCCCGCGTTTCGGGAAGGCCGAGCGGCGCTTGTGGTGCCGAGGGCTCGGAGCCCAAGGGACGCGCTCAGCTGTTCCAAAAGCCATCGGCCCGCCGTTCCACACTGGATCACGTCCACGCATCGCTAGGTTAGTTGCCAGCATTTAGTGGAAGTTTCCTCCCAGCTAAAAATGTCCACGCTGCTCGCACCTGTCTGGAGCGTCCCCGCTTCCGCCCGAACCACTCTCGTCACAAGGCCTGGAGCACACATCACGTACCACAGGCAGAACGCTCTCACACCTCACTTCCAAAGACGCCTTCAGAAAGTAAAGCAAGGCCTCAAGGTCACAGAAGCAGACACACCGACGACCAGCGCGGCATCTCCACGCCCGCTTACTCCGGTTCTACTTAGACGGACGCAGCTCTCGGCGCGTTTGGGGCCACAGCCTGGACACGTGCCCGACATCGCACTTCAGCAGCCAGTTTACTACGATGCGGCCGACCGAGACCTCAGTGCCGAGACTTAACCGGCGGGGGCATCACTGGCCGCCGCCGAAGGACGCGCCTCAGGCAGGCAGCCGCGCCGGTCCCGCCGGGCGCGCCAGCCGCCGAGTCACGTCACCCACGGCACCTCTGCTGCCCGCCGGGGCTGGCTCTCGCTGCAGCGGTGGGAAATAAAGGACAAATCTAGTTGTCTAAAAGACAAGTCACTGTACACATTTTATTTACAGTTTTGTACACTGTCTTATGTGAATGGGACCGCTTTCCTACTCGAGCCGGTTTAACCAAAGCAAAATAACCTAAGTAATACAAAGTGTTAAAATACAGCGTAAAGATACAAAAACAGACATACTAATTCTAATTAGGAATGTAATTATGATGTTACATTTTTTAATAATCCACAATGATGCTTAGGAAATCACACCAACATAGATCACTGATTTGAATGAAATGCATAAATTTGTAGCAAAGCTTGGTAGTTACAAAAAAACAAAAAACAAAAAAAAATTACCAAAGAATGCACAAAATTAATGTTTATTCCACCTTTGTGTCATATTCCTGGATCCTTCACCCACGTTACATTGAGGGAAAAAAACAAAAAGCAAAACAAATGGGAAACTGAAATCAGAATCACTAATGTTATCAAGTAGGGAGACAAATAAATTAAAATCTAGCAGCCATCAGCAAGAGCACAGCACAGACGATGCTGTCGAAAGAAACAAAGAAAATTGCTAGAAAACGGGATGCGCCACACTCTGTCAGACCAGCGGGATGCTCCTGCACGCGGCGGAACATCGCGGAACTCCTCTCCCGCCAGGTGTGGAAACGCGAGTCCTTCGTGAGTCCTGGTGAACGGCGACTCTGCTGGCAACGTGACCCCCGCGCAGGGCAGCGGGCCAGGAACGCTTCCGCGGATGCTGGGGGCCATTCGGGGACTGTAACTCTTTGATTGGGACAGTGGACATTCTAGCCAAAATCAAAATAACATGTGAACACAGAAGTACAAGACAAAGGCGAATGAGACTTCTTATATCTTAGCAACATTTAGATGGAAATCAAATTTAAACGCAGTCCACTCTGCTGTCGAAGAGGCTTTGGTTCAGCTCCCAAATCTCGATTGCTTGACGCAGTCTCCTGTGAGGACACTCGGAAGGGGTCTTCTTACACAACAAACCTATTCTTAGTGGTAGAGCCGCTCTTGGTAGCCGTGTCTGCGTGGGACTGGTACCCAATCACTATCTTGGCAGGAAGTCCTAACCTCTCCTTGTATACCCTCCTAGACGGAGACAAGAAAGACGCGGTCAGCTGGCGGCGGACACCGAGCTCGGTCCTGCTGTCTGCGCCGAGCAGCGGCGGCCTCGGGCCGAGGCGGCAAGCACCCTCACCCCCTTCCTTCAGCAGGCGCCGTCCGCACAGCCCGTGCTGTGCCAACGACTGGGAGACGAGTGACGCCCGAGCGGGCCAGCCCCA